AAAAAAAAAAAAAAGAATGTCTAGGTTCTTCACTTAAAGAGGTTGCAGGATGAATATCAAGAGGAAAACCGAAAGTCAGTAACTGTGGAGGATGGGATTAACTTTCATTTACTGGTTTTCCTTCACAATAAATGAGGACCAACTTAACACGTAACGTCTTCCTGTTTCCTACCTGCCCGAGCACCTCAGTCCTAACACTTGTGCACTGTTTTAAACGCCCACGTCCCTCATGAAGGCAGGACGTGGACATGATGGTGGGACTAGACACTGAAGCATTCTATAAGACTATACTTTCAAGAAGTCCCTAAAGATGTCCCATGAATCTGGCTAACACCACTGTAATAAATATATCATTGTAACATCAGACTCCTGCTGTATATGTTACAACTGATAGTTAATGAGGCAGGAACCAAAACATGATTTGGTCAGTATTCACAGATTTAGCCCCTCCGTAACCTTCCAGGCCTCTCTATGTGCATCAGAGAACCACAGGAAGTCCAGAATCAGAGGGATCCGAGGAAAGGCTGTCACCCTGCACGATGGGGAGGGTGGGGAGGGGGAGCATGGGGCTGGGGGAGCACAGGGCGAGGTGGGGGGACCGGAAGCCCTTGCAGGCATGCATGTGGGACAATGGTCCTACTGAGCACTGGGCAAGGGACCAGCCCAAGTGAAAACAGGCTATAAGTGTAAAATACACACGGATTTCAATAAACCAAGTACGGAAAAAAAAAAAAAGTCAAATATCTCGTGGATAATTTTTCAACTGACACATGTTGAAATGAAATATTTTAGACATACGGGGTTGCATAAAACATAGTGTTAAAATTAATTTTACCTGTTTCTCTTTTACCTTTTTTTAAATATGGTTACTAGAACATTTTAAATTATAAATCCAATACCCCCTATTTCTGGAAATGGCTAGGAATAGCTGCCATCATGAGTCAGCCTGTGAGAAGAGAGGTACGTAGAGAGAAAAGAAGAATGACTTTGTGCTGTGTCAGCAAGGTAATCGATCCCCTTTGCCTCTCCAAGAAACGGTAAACCAGATTGAAATGAGCCCTTTGTCGCTGCCAACACCCAGGACATGGGAAGGGCTAAGGCACTAGCTGGGGGTGGGGCACGATCCACCCCCAGACGGCGTGGGCCGGAAGAAGGTCTGAGAAGAGTGTGCTGACAGGAAGAGAACAGCCAGGGGTCCAGCAAGAACTCTACAGAGACCGGCCCTGACCCAGCGGTCCAAGGAAGAGGGCCTGCATTAGACACGAGGGAGAGGGGCCAGAGGGCTAGGCGAGAACTCCACAGATCCGCAGAGCGCCGTGTCAAGGGAGCTAAGGAAAGACATGGGGGAAGAGTGGGCATCATCTTGGTGTCACATACTGCTGAGAGATGGAGTAAGTTCTGAGAGACGCCCACTGGATTTAGGAAAGGAGATCGGTGGTGATTTTTTGACGAGGGAAGCTGCCGTCGAAGACGGTGGAGAAATCTGATTGCACTGGGTTTAGGAGGATGGATGTGTGAAGTGAAGGGGAGGAAGGGAGGTCTGGAGGGGACATGGGGTCAAGGAAGATTGTGTAGGACCAGAGAGAGGTGAGCGCGCTTGGATGCAGATGGGCGTGGCTCAGGAGGGGTGGCTTCCTGGGGAGATGGGAGGGCTGGTGCTCGGCACTCTGTGCACACAGCCACCCACGCACCCCCCACACCCCAGGTCCTGCCACCACCGGCAGGCTGCTCTGCATCAGAGGGTGGCAGGTCCTTCCTTTCAGCCAGAAAGTTCTCCTTCTCCCCTTCGGCTCCCCTTTGAAGGACCTATCACCCTCCTCGCCTCTCCTGAGTGACGCCAGCTAGACTGTCTCACTTTGCTGAGGGAGACCACAGAAAACAAAGCTCGCTTGATGTCCCTCACGCACCAAGCTGCTTCCTTCTCTCTAGTCCTAAAACACGAAGGCCTGACTGATGTAAGAGGAAAAGGCAAAGCTTCTTCGGCTGACGAGTCCACAGTGGCCTAAAGAACAATACAATAACTCAAGAACGCACCTGTACCCCTACAAACTAGCCCTCGAGCTGTGTTTAGCAGTTAATTCATCTACACGCAGCTGCTCAATATTCTTAGTTAACGCTTCAAAATGGCCATTTGCCCCATCCTAGATTCTGGGCCCCTTAACTTTCTATCCTGCTCGCTCTACCCGTCTATCATCTCTTGCCTCAAGCTCCACACCGCGGACACACCTAATCTCAGCAGAAGAGCCCCCAGACCTGTCCCCTACTTCCCAGAACAGACGCCGACTGTTTGGGCACCACGGCTGACACCCCTACCCCCTGCTGGGGCAGCTCGGGCTGCAGAGCTACACACCACAGCCTGGGTGGATGAAAACATGGCATGACTGCACACAGTTCCAGAGGCTGCCAAGTCCAAGACCAGGACGTCGTCAGGTTCAGTGTCTAGTGGGTACCCTCTTCCTGGCTTGCGATGGCCACCTTTCTCTGTGTCCTCACATAGCAGACAGCAAGCCCGCTCTGGGTCTCCCTCTTCTTCCTCGATAAGTGTACTCTTAAGCCCCTTGGTCTTGGTTCTTGTTCTGGACACACTTGCATCCCACTCAGCACCTTCATCCTCTCCTCTACTAATTGCTTCCTCTTTTGCCCTAAAATATTCAGATATCTTCCTTCCTTATGTTGAAGACATTCTGATAGGTGCCTTAGCACCTTCGAGCATGCTCCCTCCACTTCCTTCACTACTTGTTCTAACTTACTCATTGCCTGCTGTCCACTCCAGGCCCAGATGCTCCGCAGACCTGCCATGCCTAGCTCTCTGCCACTCAGTCTGTCCTGCCTCCGTGAGCCTCTCCACTCCTCTCTGCCCCTCAACTGCCCCTGGCCCGGACCCTGCTTACAGGATGACCTCACTGTTAAAACCGTTCCCAGAGCCTAAGAGAAGAAGCAGCAGCTCAGGTCCGGACAGAGAAGCCACTGGTGATCTCAGCAACAGCACCTGTAGGGAGGGAGGGACAGAAAGCCTGCGGGGTGCCGGCGGCGGGGGGCGGGGGGACTTGAGTAGCAGGCACAGAGAACACAGCAGGGGAAGGTGGCAGCTCTAGAGGGGCACCCACAACTCCTGGCCAGCACTCTCTGCACTCAAACTCTGCCCCCATGGACGCCTTTACTCCTCGCAAAGGCCCCTTGCAGGCGGGGTGCCTCGTTCTCTCCATTCCACAGATAAGGAGACAACCCGGGGATATTCAATAACTTGCCCGGGGCCACATACAGCCAATCCCAGCAGTGACCCCCGGGGGGGCCGAGGGCTGAGGCTGCAGGTCTGACCAGGGGGCAGGACAGCGGGACGGCAGAACCAAAAGCTCCTCTGGGACTTGGAGAAGGAGTCATCCCCGCAGCTCACTCACACCCTGCTACCACCTGCAGGCTGCAGGGGAGCGATGGCCGCACACAGCCACGCAAGGGTTTGGCTCTGCTCTCAACGCTTCAAATATTCTCACCCACTTACTCTTGACAACAGCCCTGGGAGGACGGCGCCTTCTATTATTCTACCGATGAAGAAAATGGGAGCACAGAAAGGGTAGGTAACTTCACCGTTATCCTAGTAAGTCATGGCCATGGGATTCCCACACACAGGCTGGACCCCACCCTCTTCACCCCTGAGTGCCGCTGCCCCTCAGAAACCTGGCCGAGGATTTCATGAGACTTACAGGAGAACTTGACTGTAACAAGACGCTTCCAAAGAAAACCGGAGGCTCCACCCTATGGGAGCCTTGAAGACAGATCCAGGGCTCAAAACTGATGACCCAAGGGACAGATGTGGCCAGCATATAAGGTTACGTTCAGCATAGGATCGGTCTCTTCATTTAGGTGGGGCCACTCGTACGCGTCCTCAG